GTTGGCCCTCTTCCAGTCCTCCAGCACCTCTCCAGAGCACCACGAGTGTTCATAAAGCTGTGCCAGGGGACTTGCAATGACTCCAGCCAGTTCCTTTAGGACTCTAGGGTGAAGATCATCCGGGCCGCCTGACTTAAAAACATCCAGCCCCTCCAGAAGCTCCCTAAGTAAATCCTCACTCACCCTAGGCCCAGGTGAGACAAGTTATCAACTGAGGAACAAAATACTTATACTCTGATTTCTAGAACAGCTACTTACACCTACCACTGCAAAATGTAATAGCTATTAATATTTTCTGTTATTGATTTATTATGTGCTGCTTTTCTGAATATTTCTTCCAATAAACACAGAAGATGAACACAGACAGTTGAAGCTAATCTGTACAAAAAATTGAACAAGAATTCACTGAAATGATTTGCAGTACCCTGCCTTCTCAACTCCTATAATAATTCTTTTCTCACCAAAGAATTCCCTCTACCCTATCTCTTGGCTTCCTGAAATCAGCACCTGGCTTGCCTCTTGAGTATAGCTGTAATCAAAATAAACTACATAACATAACATAATACAGGGGCATTACTAAGGGAAAGCAGTTCCAGATGCATCTGTTTTAGCAGCAACAGGTCTTCATTTAGAATGTCATCCTGAGTCTTTTTTCTTGCTCTTCGACATTTGCTTTTTTCGTTTATGACCTTTCTTGTTCACTGGTATCCTCCTATATTCTTCTTTTAACAGCTATTTTATGTTCTTATTTCTATATTTTTCTTTAAACTTAACTTGACTTCTTCCTTTCTGCTTCTGCAAACATTTCTGTCTCCATTTTGACTTTATACTTCTTGTTGACCTTGTTTTCTCCCTGTTTTTAATTCTTCTCATCTTCAAATTTTTTCCCCCATTTGTTTGGTTCACATTTATGTTTTTTGTCTATATCACTTTAATCTCCAGATCTTCACTACAATGTATTATCTGTAACCCTTAAATTATCCAGAGCAAAGAGGGACTTTTCATTTGCATTTCTTAGATGAAGCAACAATAACACCAATAAGTATCTGTACATCAAAAAAATCCTAAGCTCTGGGGTCCTTTTCAAAATTAAATATTAACAATAAGCAATAAATCATAGAACAAAGCTTAAAATGTAAACAGTTCACAGCCTACTAAACTACTATTACCACTTCCACAACATTCAAATAGATAATAGAAAAATAATATAAATTGGCATAGTGTATTGGAACAACTTACCAAGACACATGGTAGATTCTCCATTGTTTGAAGTCTTTACTTCAATGCTAGATGTCTTAAGCTATTTTCTTGTTCAACCAGATGTTATAATCTATGCCAGGGCTGCCTGTCTTCTGAGCAACTGGAGACCACACACCGTCTCCTGGGGCCCTCCAAGCACA